CAGATTTTCCTGCTTTGTAGACTGTACAGTGCATGTGTCACAGCTGGACAAGCAGCTGCAGTTACAGGGTGCTTGGCTTGCTCTATTACTACATATTATTCATAGCTGAGTAAAAGTTAAACCTGAATGTCTTAAAAGCATACTACAACTTTAATAGCATGCCAATCATATTTCAACCCAGGGCATTGTGTATAAATGAAGATATGAGAGATTGAAGACTTGTTTTATTTTAATTATGTTAATTGCCTCCAGATGGGCTGTTGTTTACTTCCCCATTCCAGGACCGGAAACCAATTTAACCGTGCCAAGCATACTGCAAAATAACCGACGACTGGCAGTCATACTACATACTACTGTTGAACTCAGTATACAGTATATACTGCATACTGATTTAGATAGGATTTTGAAAACAGCCATTGTGTTGGAGGAGCCAACTAAAATTAAAGCCATGGGATTTTGTCATTGGTTAGACAGAGCTCAACATTTCACCTTTCAACTTCAAAAATCAGGACAAAACCCCCGCCACCCACCTTACATACCCTCCTTTTTTGTTATTTTTTATTAAGCTTTCTGCATTTAGCTCAGGTCATTAAATGGTTAAACACCAGTCTGCTTGTTTGCAAAAACTTTGCATAAGTTTTTTTTCATAGTTTACAAAAAATGTGGAAAATAGTAAAATCTGTAGATTTAAAAACAACAACATACATGTTACTGAACATTTTCTATTTTAGGAATATTGTTCAGCCCTTGTTAACATGAAAAAGAAAAATAAGATAATGTGCCAATCTTTATCAAGGCCTCAGGCCAAAATCTTCTGATTCTTCATTTGAAGCCACGGGCCGCAAAAAATCCCCTCAGGGGCCGCAAATGGCCCTCGGGCACTTTGGACACCCCTGCCTTAGTAGCATGATAAGGAAATTCAGAAACATTGCATGGGCTGATATATTTTTTTGCTGCAATGCAACAGCATCAAAGCAACGAGAAAAATATGGAAACAGGCTTGAGTTGTTAAGATGTTCAGGTGTAACATAGACGAGGAAGAATTGTCTGACACGATGCAGAGGCAGACTGAGAGATCTTTGATGTGAAATGTACAAATATAGAACAACGCCAGCGTCACACCATAAGCTCTTTTGTGGTTTCTTATATAAAACTTTTTGCACAGTAGAGTGCTATCACAGTCGCAGACTGAATCTATACGTTTTTTCTGGGGAGACACATCACAGTCTTCTCCAGAAGAGGCTGTCACTGAGCTAGAGTTTCTGGTTCCTTCATGGTGGGAGGAAGAAAAGCAGATCTGCAGTGCGCCCGCAGTGACACATTCAGGAGAGCGCTACTCTGAGGCGAGCAAGGATTTCTGCTTTAAGTAGAGTAAGAGAGAGAGAGAGAGAGATTGGGTGCTGAAGACAGACCATATTTATAGCCAGGCATAGGAATTATTCATTGTGATCAAAGTGCAGATCATGCTCCATTCCATCACAGAGCAGATGTGGCAGAAAGGAAAGAGCACGCTTTCTCCTCTGCCTGCTCTCTAGCGGCTTTCCAAATGGAAAACAGCGAGGGCGAAGTTATCTCTGTGAAGCTACTGTGTGTGTGTGCTTGTGTACGTGCGTTTCTGTGTGTGTGTGTGTGAGTGTGTCGCGCTTGTTCTCAGGTGGCTTCACTTTAGAAGGAGTGCAACGCCTCTGAGATGAAACATGCAGCAGAAAGAAAAAAGGAGTGTCCCACATGCAACACGTCTCCACAATCAGAGCGAAGGATTGAATCTCAGATTCTGAGCTCACAGCGGGAAGTCATGTGCCTGAAGCCATGCACATCCCATCCCCCCCGCTGCTGAACGTGACATCGCGTGGATCTTTAAGTAGCACATTAATAATCACGGGGCCAGAGGTCACAGCTAAGAGACACAATAAAACAAAAGCCATTTCAATTTGAGGTTACCTTGTGTAGTTTTCCATGCAGCTTAATATTATCAGTAAACACGACTGTTGGCACTAAGACCACACACAACTCACACAAAAGCAACCACCACAACGTATCACTGTTTTATTTTTCATATCCTCTCTCCTCCCTCATACACTCTTACAGGGGACACACTCTCTTTTTCTTTCTCTTTCTCTTTTTTGTTTTCCTGCCTTTTCTCCCCTAGTAAAGCTTCCTTAGCAATCACACACAAACTCTCTCTCTCTCACACACACACACACACACACACACACACACACGAATGCCTCCTTCTCCTAGTTTCATTTTCTCTCCCTCCCACACACACATACACAAGCGCCCATTTCTCTCTCTCTCTGTCTTTCATTTTTCAGTCTCCTACCCTTTCTCCCACCCTCCCTGTCACTCTTTCAACACACACACACACACACACACACACACACACACACACACACACACACGCAAGCGTGCACACACAAGCAGAAGTACATGATTCTCACACACAAACACACATAAGCACAAGCACAGAGACATACAAGCTCCTTCATCTTCTCTTTTATTTTTTCTCCCTCCCACACTTTTCCAATCACTACTTCAACGCATGCACACACACAAACACACACGCACATGCACACTAACTTATTAACTTACACACAAAGGCGCCTTCTTCATTCGCTCTTATTTTTCTCTCTCTCATTCTCACCAACCCTTTTCTCTCCCAGTCAACATGCACACACCCTTATACACACACATACAGACCTCTTTCTTTCTCTCTCTGTTTCTCATGCTGAATCACTTTCACACACGCAAACATACACAAACGCACACACACTCAAGCGTCCGTCCAGCTTCCCTGACTCCCAGCTGGGCTTGGACGGCTCTCTTCCTCTTGGCCTCTCCGGGCCATCTGGAGTGCAATGTCCCCGCTCTGCTGGTCCCCTGCCAGCCGCAGAGCCTCCCAGGATCAACGCAGCATCTTCAAGCACAATTTGTACGCGTCAAAGCTCGGCTGTGTGTCCAGTGACCCAGCTGAGTGAAGTCATTGAGTCCCACGTCTCCCCCCACCTCAAAGGAGCCTCATTCTGCTTTGATGACACCTGCGCTCCCCCCGACTCGCAGGCTGGAGGAAGGTGCAGTAATTGATTAAAGCAACCCTACTTCGAATTACAGCTCTGTTTATGATCCTGCAGAGAGGGGTCTGTCTGTGCATGAGGAGTGAATATCAAAAATCTAGTACAGGCATGCAAGGCTTGGACACTGGAGCGATTTCTCACCTGTCCTTCAGAGGTGTTACATTTTCACATGCAAGCAAATCACAGACACCTAAGTGGAACCTGCAAACAATTACGTTAGTCCTTCAGTCTTTCTGCAGTTTTATAATCCATGCATATAAAGAGTCAAAAAACTGGAGAGATAAGAGCCACCAATGTTCATGAAGTCTCCCACAATCCCACAGAGTTTTGCAGCTAACTGCCCTAATGACTGAAACACAAAACACCCAAAGTATTTCAATACAAAAGACTTTGGAATTAAGTCACCCTGTTTGAAATTGATCAGAACTTAAGTCATTCAGCCGCGAGTTTCCAACCTCAAAGGGGCCTTGTTCTGCTTTGATGACACCCACGCTCCCTCTCAGCTCAACAGGGTGATTAATTAAAGCGAGTAAGTCTCAGTACTTTCAATTACAACACTGCGTAAGATCTTCTAGATCTTAAACTGCAATCTTTTTGGCTGACCACCAGCCAACATAATGAGAAAGACAAGGGGGGGCATGTTGTAGAAATGTTTAAGACACATTCGCACATTAAGTTGTATTCGAAACCTTTTTTTCATTTCTTAATTTTATTGGATGATCAAGAGTTTTAAAATCACTGCACCAACGTTGTGTTTCTAGATGACGTAGCAAAAATCATTTGCATCATAAAAGTAGCTTAACCCAAAATAATAAATGCCCCAGGGCCGGTTAGTGTGCACCGGCTATTTTTATAGTCTGTTGAACACACCAATCCAATGTGACACCCAAACAACACACACACAGTCATCCAAACAACACACACACACACACCAACACACAAACAAACACATAAACACACGCAAGCACGCACATACACGCACACAAACAAACTCTGTCCAGATCCCTTCTATTTCCTGATTGTACTCCAGTTGCAGGTTTGCCAACAAACTAAAAAAGTAGAATGGATCCCCGACCATTGTTATCACTTACAAAGTTTTTACTTAAAGACGCTGAACAAAGAGTGATTTTTAAAGGCAGGGAACCAGAAGCAGAGAAAAAATGACACATAAAAGCTGTCCTATATGGATGTGTGGCTGCATGAAGTTATCAGGTAGCAGCAGACTGCAAACAAACAGCTGGCTGTGTCTGTCACTGCTCCAACACAAAGAGTCTTTACTGTAGGTGATGAGGTATGCAGCAGAAACAAAGTCTAAATAAAAACATCCCTCATCATGCAGAGGATGACCCTGTCCTGTCTTAAACCTCAACATGTTTAACTAACTGCATTGAGGGGGAGGCAAAAAAAAGCTTAATTTGTATATCAACTCTATTGTCTCTACTCATTACCTAATTTAAAGTAAATGGACTGTTTGAAGCATTGCACTTTATAAACAGGGAAAACAAGCACTGCATTAATTCTCAAAGTTTGTTGCTCATAGAGTTGAAGCCACATCCGCAGGGAGGAAAAACTCATTTTGTAGGGAATAGCTGAATGAACATCAAGGGAAATTTTGCAAAGTAAGTAACTTCATAATAGAAAGCACAACACCTGAGATTTCACTATCAGTGAAGACTGCTGCTCAATAGTTTTCCTTTCAGCAGATTATGAGTAAACCCGCTCTAGTGAGGTTGAAGATTGGACTTTGACAATAATTAATCTATAAGATGAAACTTCAAAATATAGCACACAGACTCTCTGGGGTCACAGGAAACGACACACGGAATACACAATGTGGAGTTTTTTAGAGGCAGTGGTGTAGTATCACAAAGCAAAACAGCTTGAATAAAGGCACAGTCTTTTAACAGTATGCAGTATTGGACTTACCTCACTGTAGCTGTGTTCCAAGTAGCATGCAGCTCGGGAGCAGGTGGCAGAGTGAGAGTACCTTCTTCTTCTACACTAGTTGATCCGCGGAGTGTTTGTGTTTCAGCACCACGGAGAGCGCGTCCGCCTCTTCGGGGGAAAATGATGCGAGTTGATGGTTGACGCTGCGAACGCAACGGACTGTGCACTCTGACAACGCGTCTCCCCTTCAAGTTTGATGCCACCTCGTTGCTGCTCTGGCAGGAGCAAACATGCCTCGTCGTGTGTCTGATGCTTTCAGAGAGGGTATGACCAATCACAACGCTGCTCCGCGCTCTTTACTCACATCTTTGCGCATCCCCGCAAAGAGTCTCCAAGGAACCGGTGCCGTGTCTTGCCTCCGGGCGGGCACGGCTGCAGAAATAATGACTTTTAAGACTGGCCTCTCCTCTTGCTAGTGGAGCACATCCTCACTTGGCGGTGTTCTCTTTGTCTTGAAGGCGATGCAGACCCTGATAAAGATGAGGCTGTGTCCTCCCGCGCAGCGTCTGGGGAAGCTACGGGAGTGGAGAGGAGCGGTGCCAGCCGGGAGCGGGAGGAGTGTCTTTTACGGTCTGAGTTCATTAAAGACTCCTCTAATATGGATGAGCTCCGTGTCCCATCATTATTAAAACCCCGGTTTTGAGCTTCCGAATGGCGGGATGACTCGGCTGCAAGAGGATACAGTACGATGTGCACTCCTGTTATAAATGCAGCGGAGCTACTGTAGAGGCGGCAGAGAGTTTAAACTAGATCTGTGCTTTAATCAGAGATGTGCAGATAAACATCAGTGCAAAGAAGTCTGAGTGCATTAATCACGAGTGAATGACTTATTAATAGTGGCTTTGAAAACGTGGGGCTGATGTCTGTGTTAGAATATGAGACATTTATAGGCACATCTCAATTTAGGACGAGTTTTGTCTAAAATGTATTTGTCTATATGCAAAGATAATATTTAAGCGTCTATATGTCCCCAGAAATAACTTATATGCACCTTGTTTTTCAATCCCTAATCAAAAATCATTAAAAAAACTCCATCCTACCAACTTATCCTCTTACATGAAACATAAACATTTCTGCTAAGGCTTACACTCAGGGATTTATTACTTTTTTTTATCCCCCTCAGTCCTTACAGAATTCTGTAGAAAGGTTTACTCCTAACCCGTCTACCAGTAACACCCCCACACAAGCTGTCTATCTTGATTCCCCTCATGGATTCTGACTAAAGGTGGTGGGGGATCTGAGGGGGGGTTGTTCCTTTTATTTTAAAAAGTGTAAATATATTTTTCAGCTTTTGCAGGTGAGCTCGTATGTAGTTGATGTTGCCCTTTGTCAGTGTCTCGATTGACTTCTCTGTCTGTAACTCGTCTTCTGTTGTCTGGACATGCTCTGTCTTCAAATTAATTAGATTACTATCCAGAATAAATGTAAGAAAGACTAATCTGAGTGCCATTAATCTCATCAGATTGCATTTGGCTGATTTATTTTTAGTTGAAGCAGTTTGGATTTAAGACCAAGATGGGCAAATAGACAATACTGCCAGATATGTGATCTGATAAAGGTTGTGTTTCAGACTTTCAAAAACTCCTGCTTGGCTCTGCAGTACAGGAATTGCTTTAAGTGTGATTGTTGTGATTTGAGGTCTTGTAGTTTATTGCCACAATACCCCCCCGAATTCCCTCTCTCTTATGCCAGTGTAATATTATAGCCCCAAGCTAGTGAACAGCCCTCAGCCACAGAAAAGGCACACACAATAAGCCATTTAATCGTGCACTGATTTGAACCAAAGGATTTTGCTAAGTCATTTTCTATTTAAAAAAAAAAGGAAAAAGGGGGACACGAAGTTGGAGAAAATAGAGCTTTTAATGAAAAGAGGAAAGGCCCTGTGGGATGGATATCAGAAGCCAGTGGATGTGCATAATTCATCTCAGACTTTTTCATAAAGCCCTGCAGAAGAGGGCTTTCTTTAGCCTGTTTTTGTCATTTAAATACTCATAATATTAGCCCTCTGCTCTGTGCAGGAGGGAGAAGGATCACTTAGGTCTACAGAAACAGTATGTTTTTCACTTTTGTTTTTTAACTGGAAGCTTAGAAGTAAAATTCTCACTTCAGATCCTGAGGGAAACTCTACTGATGCACAGACAAGGACGTATTTGAACCCTCAAACTGCACGCACGCACACACGCACACACGCACACACACACACACACACACACACACACACACACACACACACACACACACACCTCCACTACTGGAGGTTTTCAGAGGTAATGTAATAATTGTTTATCATTATTTTAACCTGCTATGCTTACAAGTAGGCCAAGATGAAACATGTTGAGACACCAGATGTTACTGTTGGCCGTGTTTGAAACAGATGTGCAATATTGGAAATCATTCTATTTCACCAGTGTTTATGTTCACATCGACATCATATATCATAGCATGTGTGTGTGGTTTTGTCAGGAAGTGCTCTTATTTCAGGGTGTGGCAGCTAAGAAACATCGTTGCTCCAGCAGGCAGAGCTGAATACACTCCAGCTTTCCTCCTCCTGACTTGAGCACACCTCCCTCTGCTGGTCTGAGGTGGCAAACAAAACAAAATCTCCTCACAGCTTTGTTTGGCTGGAGGGGACTCTGGGTACAAGTCCAAGAACACTAATTCAGACCCACAGGAAGGCTTTGCTATCCGCAGCACAAGCAGGCTTTATTGTGGAGCCTTTTTTAATTCACAAAGCGGCTGCATGTAAGTGGGGCAAAACATCGCCCAAGTCCTGAAGATCTAAGAAACACCAGCACAGCAGCTGCAGAGCGTCTCTGGTGGGACTGTGGGCCGTTAGCTGTGTGTGGTATATCAGCACACCCGACTGGAAAATATGCTGAAGATGTTCGGTGGTGACTATTTTTTGTCACTCAGTGTGAAAAGTCTAATCATACATTTTTTAATAGGACTTCAATGGGACGACATTTTTGACAAAGAAATTTGTGATTTTTTTGCAGATAAGACAGCAAAGATGTGTGTCGCCTGTATGATCTTCATTGAAGAAATACATTCACTACACTGTCTGTAACATAGGATTTTCACTGTCTTAACATGATGAGGCGTTACATTATTTGTGTGCTTTACAAGAAACAAAGTCGTCAAGTTGGAGGGGTCATTTAAAAGAATGTTTGGAAGGCACGTGGTAACATATTTACTGTTTTTTAAAGCCTCTGGCGACTCAAATCTATAGCCTTTTAAACATACACTACAGCTTTCAATGTGCATCGGCTGATAGAAAGCATTTTGAAACGTTTCAGAAATTAGTTTCAGCTTAACTTCAGAACATTGTGCTTTTATTTGAATTGGGCATGGTTACACTTTGTAAATTAATACAAGAATAATTCAAGTCTCCAATCCTAGGATTAGACACAGCTGTTTGGCTGTTTCCACCCAGGTATTGTTTGTTGGCCAAATATTGATGGTAGGTAGTTTAGAATATTATGAAAGGTTGTCTATGTTCAGCTGAGGTAGTTATAGGAGCAATATGTAACTCTGACACTTAGCATTTAAATTGAGTACTGATGTCCAAATTCAAAACATTGGAGAGAGCTGTCTCCCCCGCCCCCTCCTCTCTAGAGTATATGTCCACACGGGTTGCCATGTCACAGACACTAAGCTTCAGTCTTTAATGAGCCCTGCAATGGTCTTGAAACCTTTCTGTGGTATAACCTCTATTCATTTTTCAAAAGGATCTCCAATATTGATCCTAGTGTTTTTCTGGTAGTCAAGCTTATTTGAAAAATGCAGAGGCTTGTAAGCTCAGGTAGAATCAGTTATATCTGAACATGGTTGCTTGCCCGCTTTCATTGCTGCAACACCTGTTGGTTTAGCGTGATACCTGGTTTCATATCTGGCAAACCGAGGGGCGTCCAAAACGGCCGTGTGGGGGGTCGCCTTTAACACTGCTTCTTCTGTGGTGAAAACAGATACAGACCATTCTGGACCCTATCTCCACTTAGGAGGACATACTAGCTGCTTCATTGTTGTCAGAGAAGCTTCACTTCAATATAGCATGTTTCTTTAATGTCTGATAAAAAATAGTAAGGTCATTTTATGATTTCATTCAGTAGTTATGTTATAAATTGCTCCTTTAAGTTCAGGCTGATGATGATTATTTTTATGCTGGGGGGAGTTTAGTTGGGTAATAATATAGAACTAGCTGAGCCTATAAGTCATAATTGAGACTTGCATCAATAACATTGGTTTGAGAACAAATGGGGGCATCTATGCTAACTTTGAATGTGTCGGATGCTGGTTTAGTTAAATTGGTAGAGGAGGTGCTCCATATATAGAGGCCCTGATGCATCTTGCATCTGCTACAGGTTTAATGCTTTATATGTGATTTTTCACACTTAAATGTAATAGAAATCAAGTATATCCTCTGAAAATAACTCTGTGAGTCATGACTGTCTACAATGGGTGTAACACCCGAGTCCCACTGTCTGTGATGCTTTACAAATTTTCCGAGTCCTATCTTCAGTTTGTTTACATCGCCGGGACGGCCGGCTGGCTGACTCCTCCCCTCACATATAAAAGTTGTTTAATTGAGGGACTAGAGAAAAGAAGAATAACATACTGTACTCACTGCTTAACTGTGTTTCTAGATCACGCTCATTTCAGGTAAATTTACATGCAGTGTAAAGATACGAGCATAATAAAGATCGCTAGCATTAGCATGCTAACACAACAGTGCAGTGAGAGTTGTTTTGGTTTCATGCTGGTGCTCAAGGGCGACATCTGCTGGATGCATATAAAGCCTTTAACTCCTTCGCCCTGTGTGGTGCCCCTGTTTTTTGATTCAACACTTAGTAACAAATCAAAATGATAAATCCTGATCACAGGCCTTCTCCTATTCTGTAGCTCCTCTGATTCTGACTCAAACAGTCACACTGATTTTCTGATAAACTATGGCTGTGTGGAACAAGGTGGATGTCAATAATAATGTGATTGGCCACACCCACACAGTCTTGAAAAATGCTCTTACCAGTAAAATGAGCTGTAAAGACCAATGAGCTTTTTAACATTTATTTGCACTCAGATTTTTGTCAATGCATAAACTCAGTCAGCTCTGATAATAAATATGCATTTTCACTATTTCAAGCCAAATGTCCAGGGGCTTTAATGAACATGTAGTTGGTTGGACAGCCAGTTTCTGATGGATTTTGGAGGTTGTGAGTCTTGACATAATTCCCTGGCCAAAAGACAAACAACCCCCTCATGGCACACTCATCACTTCCATCCTCTCGCTGCTCATCGCTCATCCAACTCTGGCATCTGGTGTAACTCATAATCAATAGTGTTGGGATCCAAAGTCTGCCCAGAGCAAACAGCAAGTGGTTTCCAATTATAAAGAACCCCCATAACAGTGTTACTGTCTTGCAAAAGTATGTCTTTCTCATTACTTTCTGAAAGTATTTTAGTTTTTAGCACCGCTCATGGTTGTTATGCAAAAAAATCAGGACATGCAGATGCTTCTGACATGTTCAGTGTATTGAAAAAAAGCATTCTGGTCCATATGTTATTAACATCTGTACAGCTTGATCTCTGTTACTTTAGATCAACTCTGCTGTTCACTCAAATCATTTTCATCTGTTACTGTCTTTTCTCTCTGTTAACCTGTGGATGTATTTGTAAGTTATGGATCTCAACTAATGAATGATTCATTATATGCTGACACAAACTGGACCCAGAGGTGCAATATTGCCTTATATAATCTTCCTCAAACTTATTACAGACTCAGCAATGGCA